TACTAAGTGCCTACTACGTGCCAAGCTCCATCCCGCCCACTTCACAGGCTGCCTCACTTAGGAAGGAGTTAGGCTGCATGTAACAGAAATCCCACACAGCAGTTTAACAAAATTAAAGCATGTGTTCCTCACCCAGCAAGCAGGCTCTGTGGCATCTGCCACCCAGGCTCTTTCCTGCCTCACTGTCTTCAGAACATGGCTTTTATTGTTTTGTTTGTTTATGTGCCTCAGGCATGAAACAGCTCTGGCCACCAACACAGGCTTCAAGCTGGGATGAACTAAGGACTGCGCTGCACGTTTGCTCCGCCCCTGACTGCAATAAGAGCAAACACCACCAATCAGGTGTCTCCTTGCCCATTGCCACAAGTAGCTTTTTTAAAAAAAAATGTATGTTTTTATTGATTTTTTAAGAGGAAGGGAGTGAGAGAGAAACATTGATGTAAGAGAAACATCAATTGGCTGCCTCCTGCACGCCCCCTACTGGGGACTGAGCCCGAAACCCGGAAACCCATGTATGTGCCCTGACCTGGAACGAAACTGTGACCTCTCTCAGTCCATGGGACAACGATCAATACACTGAGCCACACTGGCCGGGCAGCTTTTTTTTTTTTTTAATGCCCCTGTGGCTATTTTTGTTTGTTTGTTTAGTTGATTTTTTGAAAAAATTTTTTTCTTTGATTTCTAGAGAGAGAGTTAAGTAGAGGAAGAGAGAGATAGAAACATCGATGAGAGAGAACATTGATTGGCCGCCTCCTGCATGCCCCCTACTGGGGACTGGGCCCACAACTTGACCTCTTGGTGCATGGATCAACACTCAACCACTGAGCCTCACCGGCCGGGATAATTGATTTTTTTTTAAGAGAGAGGAAGGGCCTGGTCGGTGTGGCTCAGTGGTTGAGCATTGACCCATGCACCAAGAGGTCGCTGGTTTAATTCCCGCTCAGGGCACATGCCCAGGTTGTGGGCTCGATCCCCAGTGGGCATGCAGGAGGCGGCCAATAGATGTTCTCTCTCATCGATATTTCTCTCTCTCCCTCTTTCTAAAATCAATGAAGGAAAAACGTTTGAAAAATAAAAAGAGAGGAAGATAGAGAAACATCGCTACATTGATCAGTTTCCTCCTGAATGGGCCCCGACCAGGGATCAAACCCTCAACCTGGGTATGTTCCCTAACCGGGAATTGAACCCGCCACCATTTGGTGTATAGGACAACACTCCAATTGAGCCACACCGGCCAGGGGGTATGTGGCTTTTCATCTCATAAGCTGGCTGAGTGCTGTAAAAAGTTAGGAAGGGCACCTGAGTCCACCCCACTTATCTAGACACCACCTCATCTGGGTCCCCCACTGCCTTTAGCATAGTGGTTCAGGTCAGTTTCTCCATGCTGTTTCCTCCTCCATGCACCTCACACAGGCCAGAGCCCCTGTGGCCTGGGACTTGGACTGGACTCACTGCCTGAGGAATGGACAGAGGCTGGAATATTGTGTCCCAGATGCCAGGTGGCCCCCAGTAACCAGAGCCTTCTGCCAGCTCTCTGCTGTAATCAGCTGGCAGACATGAGTCCTGGCTGAGAGCGATAGGAACTGGGGACCAGGAACTAAGCCAACCTCACCCCGGGTCTTTTTTTTTTTTCATCCTTACCCGAGGACATTCTTCCATTTTTCGTACAGATAGAGTGGGAGGGAGAGAGAGGAAGAGAGAGAGAGGGAAACATCGATGTGAAAGGGACACATCGAGTGGCTGCCACCCGCACAACCAACCAGGGCCGGGGACAAACTGCAACCGAGGTACATGCCCTTAGCGGGAACCGAACCCAGGTCTCTCCGGACTGCAGGCGGACACTCCAACCACTGAGCCAAACCGGCCAGGGCTCACCCCAGGTCTTATGGCTGAGGCCCCACACTCTCTGGGCCTTCCCCTCCATCTACAAATATATTTGTATGTTGTACTTGTGGTCAAAATGCCCACAGGCTTTGGCCACCTCCTGCAGGCTCCCTTCAGTGGCCCCCGCCTAGGGCCTATGGCCAGAAGTGCCCCGAGTACATGCCCTTGGAGGCCCTGGTGCCAGGGTCCCTGCCCTGTCCTTCATTTTTTCAGTCATCCTGGAGTGTGTTTGGGTTGGCTCCAGGCCTGTTTTGAGTGTGGCCCTGGGGAGTGAAGTTGGGTGCCAAAGCCAGGCTGGATCCCATGAGAGACATCACTACCACAGGCAGACCCTAGGTGCAAAAGGGACACCTGAAGGCTAATGGGTAGTTTGGACAGGAAAGCTTCCCCTAAGTTTTGGTCTGAGCACATTTTGAAGGGCAAAAAGAGGGGGAAAGAGCCTTCCGGGCTGAGGGAACAGCCAGTGCGGGTTGGGGTGGAGGGCTGAGAAATAACACTGGGACACATCTGGGGAGGCTCCAGCAGCTCATATGCCAAGAAGGCAGGCATTGAGACCCAAGACACCTTGCGGGGGCCCCAAACACCTCTGGGCCAAGCCCCCAATAGGGGCTTTTACCCCACTGCAGGGTTCTGGAAACTGGCACCTGGTTTGTCCCTCTCAAGTTTAAGGAATAAGATTCTTCACTATGACTTTGATGACAAGGACCGAGCTTGTTAGAGGTGGGAATGTGAAAGGAAAAACTGGTTAGCTTACTAAATTCTATGGGCTTCACTGGGGCCCAAAGAAGTGACTGACATGCCAGGGACACGCAGCTGGGACAGGGTTGGGAACAGAGTTTGAATAGTTCTATTCCAAACGGAGTCCTAGTCTTAACACACAAGCCAGAAATTCCCTCCCCCCAACCAGACCGCGTAAATAGGCATGTTTCCCCCAAAGGCATACTTTCCAGGAATCTGTATTTTATCAGAAGCCCTAATTCCCATGCATATCGGTCAGTTTGAGAACTCGGCCCTGCACGTTCAGGTCCCACAAGCCTTACAAGGCTGGTAGGCACCACGGGAGTCTGAACCGCGCCCTCTAAAGACAACGCAGCCACCCGGCCTCTTCCTGAAGGTCCACGGGGCGGGTCGCTGCGCCCCCTTGCGGCCGCCGGAGCTCGGCTGATCCAGGGCTTCGAGCCAGAACCCTGCGAACCGGCCAGGAGAGACCCGCGTGGGCAACGCCCGGAGCTCCGAACTAGGGACCTCCCGTGAGATTAGGAAGGTCTCCCGCGCGGAATGTCCAGAAGTGGGAACGCTTGTAACGCCCTCTCCTGGCGCACGGAGCACCGCACCCCGCGCGCGTCACCCTCGTGCACGCGCACGCGATCGCGATTCGTGTGCGCAGGCGCGTAGAGGCTGCGCAGCCGCCATTGCTCCCCCGCTAACGAAGCCTCCGGTTGGAAGTCTGTGGAAGCAGAAGGAAGGGTGAGTGCGACGCCTGGAGAACTGCGGCCCCGGGCTGAAGGGGTAGCATACTTAGGGGAGGATTCCCCGCTTAGGCCTGGCCGAGTGGATCAAGGAACTACAGCCCCCAAAATGCACTGCGCTGCAGGGTTGCGCGAGACAGTGACGTAAAAGGTCTTTGCTGCTACCATTTCTCTACTAGGGGAACGCCCTGGCCCCGGGCTGGCGACGCGTTCTGGTGGCTAGAGGGTCACTGGAGGTCAGCGGGCGCTGGTTCTGAAAACGCATCCCTATATTTTTTTCCTGTTTGACCAATTTATTTTATTATCCTCACCTGAGGACTTTTTTTGTTTTTTGCATTTATCTTCAGATAGAGCAGGAGGGAGAGAGGGAGGAAGGGAGAGAGAAACATCAACATGAGAGAGACACATCAAGTGGCTGCCACCCACACGACCCCAACCCAGGCCCGGGACAAACTGCAACCAAGGCACATGCCCTTAGCGGAAACTGAACCCGGGACTCTGGTCCGCGGGCCAATGCTCTAACCACTGAGCCAAACTGGCCAGGGCTGTTTGACCAATTTAAACCAATGATTTATTTACTCCTTTAAAAAAAAAAAAGTTTTTATTGATTTTTTTTTAGAGGGAGAGAGAGAGAGAAACACTGATGTGAGAGAGATACAGAGACTGGTTGCCTCCTGCGTGACTCCACCAGGGCCAGACTGAACTGCAACAGAGGTACATACCCTTACCTGGAATCGAACTAGACTCTTTGGTCCGCTGGGGTGCTCTAACTGCTGGGCCAAACTGGCCAGGGCCCTCCTCCTCATTATTTAGGCTTTATTTTGAAATAATCTCAAACTTATAGATTTTAAGAATTTTATTTTATTTTTTTTTTTTTTTTTTTTTTATTATTTTTTATTTTTTATCCTCACCCAAGGATATTTTTCCATTTTTTGTACAGATAGAGTGGGAGGGAGAGAGAGGAAGGGAGAGAGAGAGAGAGAAACATCGACGTGAAGGGACGCATCGAGTGGCTGCCACCCGCACGACCAGCCAGGGCCGGGGACAAACTGCAACCGAAGTACGTGCCCTTAGCGGGAACTGAACCCGGGTCTCTCCAGACCGCAGACGGACGCTCTAACCGCTGAGCCAAACCGGCCAGGGCAGATTTTAAGAATTTTAAAAATAACTCACATATCCCCCTTGATAATTAAGTTAGTTGCAGATGTGAAGCCACTTTCCCTCCACGTGTAGAGGTCTATCAAGACATTCCCCGACGTTCAAAATCAGGAAATATTGATCAAAACTGCTATCTAGTCCTGGCCGGTTTGGCTCAATAGTTAAGAGTATCGGCCTGTGGTCCAGAGAGACCTGGGTTTGGTTCCTGCTAAGGGCGTGTACCTTGGTTGCAGTTTGTCCCTGGCCCGGTTGGGGTCATGTGGGTGGCAACCAGTCGATGTGTCTCTCGAATCGAATTGATGTTTCTCTCTTTCTCCCTCTCTCTCCCTCCCACTCTATCTGAACAAAAGATGGAAAAAATGTCCTCAGGTGAGGATTAAAAAAAAACAACCTGTTATCTAATGTGTAGTCTATATATAAATGCTTCCAGTTGGCCCAGCATTCCATCCAGTACGTTTCCTTCAGCTGTTTTGTCTCTTTAGTCTCTGTCAGTATGGAGCAGCTCCCCAGTTTCCCTTGACTCTCATGACTTTGACATTTTTGAAGATTCCTGGCCAGTTGTTTTGTAGAGCTGAACTGGGGTTGTCAGATTTCTTCACTACTGTTATGGGCAGAGGTAGTGCTGACCAGACTGTTAATCAGAGGCTGGGGTGTATCTTGGGAGGCTGAGGAGGACCAGTGACCAGCCACGCCAGCTTCCAAACATACTTCCAGACCTTGCTAGGCCAGACCCTTTCTGTGGTTGCCTCCCCTGTTGAGGTTTCACACTCATCTCACTGAGGTGTCTGGCTTTCCTGTAGCACCCACCCTGGAGCCATGGTCCACGCTTTCCTCATCCACACCTTACGGGCCCCACAGGCTGAGGACATAGGCCTTTGCCGAGTGCTCTACTCCTGCGTCTTTGGTGCCGAGAATTCACCAGATGATCCACGACCACACGGTGCTGAGAGAGACAGGCTTCTCCGCAAGGAGCAGATTTTGGCAGTGGCCAGGTAACCGCACAGCCCAGTCCAGCCCCACACCTTCATTGAACATATGCCTAATTGTGATAGGTTTTCTGGGGGGACACAAGAAACGGGGACTAAGAATCAGAGACATTTTCCAAAGAGCTTTTTACAGTTGTTCACAGGTGTTATGTGAAAAAGGGTTAAAGAAAACAAAAATGCTATTATTACTGTTCTAGTTAGCATTTATTTATTTATTTTTTTATCCTCACCCAAGGACATTTTTGCATTTATCTTCAGATAGAGCGGGAGGAAGAGAGAGAGAGAGAGAAACATTGATGCAAGAGAGACACATCGACTGGCTGCCACCCGCACAACCCCAACCGGGGCCGGGGACAAACCACAACTGAGGTACGTGCCCTTAGTGGGAACCGAACCTGGTACTCTGGTCCACAGACCGATGCTCTAACCGCTGAGCCAAACTGGCCAGGGCAAGTTAGCATTTATTCAGCCTGAAATATGTGATGAGCATTTATGTTCTAAGCATTTCATGTATATGAACTCCTTTAATCCTTGTGACAGTCTTTTGAGGTAGGTACAGTTATTAGCCTCACCTTACAAATGAGTAAACTGAATACAGATTGTTTAAGGAACTTAACCTGCAAGTTAGAAAAGCAGTGGAGCTGGGATTTTTGTTTGTTTATTTTATTTTTTTTGGTACGTGCCCCTAGAGGAAACCGAACCCAGGACTCTCTGGCCCGCAGGCCGACGCTCCAACCGCTGAGCCAAACCGGCCAGGGTGGAGCTGGGATTTGACTGTAGGTAGGCAAACACCAGTACAGATTAGACATGCTTGGCAGTGCAAGATTTCTCAGGGCCTTTAGTGTGCCTGTAAGCTTTATACATCCCTAAGTAGGAGAGAGAATATGATACAGGGGGACTCTTTATGCCCAGAACCTTTCAAAAGCCTGGGATCCAGAGTGCAGTTTGGGAAACTCTGTTCTAGATGGGGTGTCTGGCCTTGGACCTTCCCATCCTAGACGAAGCCAGCAGGTGCCAAAATCTTCCAGTCTCTGTACATTCTGGGTGGGGGATTAACACTCTGGACCAGCCCTGTGTCAGACTCCTGCCATCCCCTTGTTCCTGTGGGCCTCTGCTCCCTCCTGTGGCACAGAAAACCAAACAGATTCCTTTAAAACCAGCCTGTGCTTGCCCTAGCCGGTTTGGCTTAGCAATTAGAGTGTCAGTCTGCAGACCAGAGAGACCTGGGTTCAGTTCCCGCTAAGGGCACATACCTCGATTGCAGTTTGTCCCCGGCCCTGGTTGGGGTTGTGTGAGTGGCAACCACTGGATGTGTCTCTCTCACGTCGATGTTTCTCTCTCTCTCTTCCTCCCTCTCTCCCTCCCACTCTATCTGAAGATAAATGCAAAAATATCCTTGGGTGAGGATAAAAAAAAAAAATAAATAATAAATAAATAAATAAATAAAATGAGCCTGTGCTCAGCCCAAGTTGGAAGGCAATTCAGGAGGAATGAGAGAATGCTTTCAATAAGCCTAGATGGCCAAGTGAAAGGTCTTTTTTATTTGGAGAGGGTTACAGGATAGGAAGTGGGTAGAGAATTTGGACAGCCCAGATTGGAAGTGGCTTTTACATTACTTTTCATTGGTTGCTTTTTTTTATGTTGAGAAGGTCTCTGTGAAGCAGGTAGGTGAGGATTTCTTCCCTTGGTGTTCAAAATCTGCCTTCTCTTGGCCACACTTAGTGAAATGGTTCAGGACCTGGAAGCTAGAGCCTGGATTTCTGTTTCAGCTCACACCTTCTTTGTGGCTCTGGGCAGGTTATTTCATCTCTTTTATACATTTTATACTTTTGAGATAAGGGGATAATGGAAGCTCCCAGCTCCAGGGGTGGTCATGAGAATGATAGAAATCAAGCCCTGGCCGTTTTTCTCAGTGGTTAGAGCGTTGGCCTGTGGACCAAAGAGTCGTGGGTTCGATTCTGGTCAAGGGCATGTGCCTCTGTTGCAGTTTGATCCCTGGCCCTAGTTGGGGTCGTGCGGGAGGCAACCAATTGGAGTGTCTCTCTCACATCAATGCTTCTCGCTCTCTCCCTCTGTCTCTCCCTTCTTCCCACTTTATCTGAAAATCAGTGGGAAAATATCCTCGGGTGAAGATTAAAAAAAAAAAAAAGTCAATAAAAATAGAAATCAGTGACCCACCACTCTCTCCAGGCAGGTGGAGTCCATGTGCCAGCTGCATCAGCAGGCCTCTGGCAGGTCTCCCACAGACCTGCAGCCTCAGTTCTCAGATGAGCCGGTGCTCCTGCATGAGGCCCCACGAGGGGCCTTCTGCCTGGCGGCAGGGGACCCTTTCCGGGAGCCTCGGACGGTTGTGTGGCTGGGTGTGCTCTCATTAGGCTTTGCCCTGGTGTTGGATGCCCATGAGAACCTGCTGCTGGCCGAGGGCACGCTCCGGCTGCTGGCACGCCTCCTTCTCGACCACCTCCGGCTGCTGACCCCCGGCTCCAATCTCCTGCTGCGGACTGACCGAATCGAGGGCATCCTTGCCCGCTTCCTGCCCCATGGTCAGCTCCTCTTCCTCAACGACCAGTTTGTCCAGGGTCTGGAGAAGGAATTCAGTGCTGCCTGGCCCCGATGACCCCTCCGAGAGGGCATGGAGGAAGGTCAAGGATGTTCGGACACACAGCCAGGTAAAACTTGGCATCTACCTCCTACCCAGCCTGCTCCCAGCTCTGGTGTGCTGCCACACCCAGGACAAATAGATGGGACAAGCTGGCAGAAAAGGGAGCAGGGCAGAAGGTGAAGGGGAGGAATCACGGAACATTCTGTGCCTGGAGCTGCTACAGTGGGCCAGCCCCTCTTGTCTTTGAGTCTACTTTCTCCCATCCCTACCAGCCAGCCCCATAAAGTCCACCAGTCCCTAGTGCTGGGGTGGTGAGGAGCGGCTGCCTGGAACTTGGCCCACCTTTCTCCAAACCCACAGTCATAACAGTGCAAAAAGAGTCTGAGACTCAGCTCCACCACAGTTCACAAATATGGCAGTCATTCAGGGGGATTCTGTAGGTTCTTTTGGGCCCAGCCCATGCACACTGAGCAGTCTCAAGATAATCATGGGCTTGCTCTACAGGGAGAGAAGGTGCTGTCGGATGGGTGCAAGGATTCTGGCCTGGATGATGTTATCTTTCTTATTTTGAATTAAAAGCACCACTGTATGATTTTGTCCCAACCCCTGTGGGTCAGGGACCCAAAATCATGGTGGTTCTGCTCAGTGTTGCTTGTGCCAATAGAATGAAACTGGTAAAGCAGATCAGAAAGTTTATTCGTTGGCCAAGTGATTGAGAAGGATGAGTTATGTTTAAAAGATCCCTTCTAGCCCTGGCCAGTTTGGCTCAGCGGTTGGCACATCGGCCTGCGGACCAGAGAGTCCTGGGTTTGGTTCCTGTAGGGGCACGTACCAAAAAAAAAAGATCCCTTCTAGCCCTGCCCAGTTTGGCTCAGCAGTTAGAGGACTGGCCCAAGGACCAAAGAGTCACAGATTCTATTCCAGTCAAGGGCACGTACCTCGGTTGTGGTCAATCCCCAGCCCTGGTTGTGGCAGGTGTGGCTTGGTTGGCTGGGCATAGTCCTCTGCACCAGGGGGTTGTTGGTTTGATTCCTGGTCAGGTCATGTGTCTGGGTTTCGGGCACCATTCCCAATGGGGGGCATGTGGGAGGCAACTGATCTCTTTTGTTCTAGCGCAGATATTTTTTTCCCCTCTCTCTCCCATTCCCTTCCTCTCTCTTTAGAAAGTCAATGAAAAAATCTAAAAAAGAGATAGAAAAAGACTGTTCTGGGGCTCCATCTTCATCAGCTCAAAGCATATTTTCTTTCTTTTTTTTTAATCCTCACCGGAAGATATTTTTTCTATTTATCTTCAGATAGAGTGGGGGAGGAGGAGAGAGAGAGAGAGAAACATCGATGTGAGAGAGACACATTGACCGGTTGCCTCTGGCATAACCCGACCAGGGCTGGGGACCGAACCTCAATCAAGGTATGTACCCTTGACCAGAATCGAACCCATGACTCTTTGGCCTGCAGGCTGATGCTCTAACAGGTGAGCCAAACCAGCCAGGGCAAAGCACATTTTCAGTTCTGCTTTGAAATCACAAACTCTTATGGGACTTGATTAAATTCTCAGGCAAGACTTCCTTCTGCACTAATGTCTGTAAGCTGGACCATAAAAAGATATTTGCTTCCAGAGATGAATCACGCATTCCCCTAAGAGGCAGGTAGAGCTGTACTAATTTATTTAACGGTTTTCTCCACCCACCCAACTTCCCATTGCATATGTTTATTTGTGTGTTATTTAATGTTTCCTTTTCCCATCAGGTTATAACTTCCAGGAGGGTTTATACTGTGTCTCTTCTACATTAACACCTGGCACATAGCAGGCACCCTGTATATATTGAACAACTGAATGAATGAATGCATGAATTAATAGGTGGTTTATGGGAGACCCTTGGGGCCAGGGACTCTGCAACATCACCATGTAACAACTTTTTGAAACAAATAGAAACAATAGACTGTATCTGTTTTAGCTCAAGGGTGGTAGCTCAGAACCACACGTCCCTTTCCCAACTGATAAACTGCTTGTGACCGCAAAAGAAGCAATTATGTAGCATTTGCAAGTTTCCTGCTACAAGGCCCCCCCTATCTTCATAAATTATGCTGGCTTGCCTTCTACACCACTAGCAATGAATAGAAATGATCTTCCCCTCACTGTTCTGAAAGTAGGGTATTGCCACAGGCCTATGATTTCTGCCCCTAGAAAAGGTGAATAAAGTGATCAGAACTTTCATCTCTGAAACAGTCTCCTGGGTTTACAAAGCCTAGCAGTGGTCAGAATGACAGACAACTTTTATATCCACCCCAATACAAGCCTTGTGAGTCTAGAAGTCTTTGAACCTGCAAAGATTCTACCTTAAGCTAGAGCTGGGAGCATAATGTTTACTATCTGAGTATTGGTTGGGAGTGAGACTTGATCAGAAGTAAAAGGACATTAAAACCCTCTGACAGCCCCAGCCGATGTGGTTCGGTTGGTTGGGCATTGTCCCGGGCACTGAAAGGTTGCTGAGTTTGATTCCCAGTCAGGGCATATGCCTGGGTTGCCAGGTTGCAGTTCTGATCTCTGGTAGGGAGCGTGCGGGAGGCAGCCAATCAATGTTTCACTCTCACATCGACATTTCTCTCTCTCCCTTCTTCTCTCTCTAAAAATCAATAAACTATTCTTTAAAAAAAGATAACATCCTCTGACAGATCTCTGGCTCATGTGGTCCTGTAATAGCTGTGCTATTGCAAAGTAAGTTCTGGCCAAGAAAGGAGCCTCCCTGACTTGAAGAGGCCCTCAGGTAGGTGACTAACAAAAGTGATAAGCAAAAATCAGTACTTCCCTATGTTCATGAATAATGGGTTAATAAATGTAATGAAAGACAAGATCCCATTCAGCATAAAGACAAAAAATATAAAATACCTAGGATCAGACATAATTAGAAATACACTGAGTCTATACAAAGACCTATGAACTATACTGAGAGGCTAAAACCAGTGAATGAATGGTTGATGCGGAATAGGATTTTTACATAGCATCAAAGTGCCTTTTTGTGAATTACTTATTAATTAAAAATGGGGAAATAGTGCCCTGTCCATGTGGTTAGAACACCGGCATGTACAGTGAAGGGTCTTGGGTTCGATGACTGGTCAAGGGCACGTACCTGGTTGCAGGTTCAATCCACAGCCCTGGGTGCATGTGGGTGACCAATTGATGTATCTCTCTCATATTGATGTTTCTCTCTGTCTCCCTCTCCCCTCCCTTCCTCCCTCCTTTCCACTCTCTCGAAAAATCAATGGAAAAAATATCCTCAGGTGAGGATTAACAAAAGAAAAATAAATAACATCGAGCCCTGGCTGGTTTGCTCAGTGGTTAGAGCATCGGCCTGCGGTCCAGAGAGACCGGGTTCGGTTACTGCTAAGGGCACGTACCTCAGTTGCAGTTTGTCCCCAGCCCTGGTTGGGTTATGCGGGTGGCAGCCACTCGATGTGTCCCTTTCATGTCAATGTTTCTCTCTCTCTCCCTCCCACTTTATCTGAACAAAATATGGGAAAATGTCCTCGGGTTAGGATTAAAAAATAAATAAATAACATCCAGTCACTTTGTAGGGGGGAAATAGTAAGTCTACAGAGGAGAAACCCGGAGGCACTCCCTTTACCAAGTGATCAAAGTGAACATCCTCAGTAATGAGACAAAAGAACATCCTTGCCTCCTGATACGCAAGAAGGACACACAGTCACTTCTGACCATCAGCAATCTTTAACTTGAATTTGATCAGGAAGAAACCACAGACAAGCCGAAATACAGGGAAATTCTGGCCTGTCATCTTCAAACTGATCACGGCAGTGAAAGGCCAAGGAAGTGCTTCAGATGAAAGGAGATGGAAGAAATACGACGACTCAAGGCAATGTGTGATCACACAGTAGAGATTGTTTTGGGAAACAAGTTTATTTTACCCTATCTTGCCTTTTGTGTTTGAGGTTGGTTTTTATTATTTATTATTATTATTATTATTATTATTATTATTATTGCTTTGAGAGAGAGAGAGAGACATCAGTTGGTTACCTCTCACATGTGCCCCAACTAGGGATTGAGCCTGTAATCTGGGTATGTGCCAGGAATTAAATTTGAGACCTGTCAGTGTACTGGACGACACACCTATCAACTGAAAACCACACCAGCCAGGGCTTTTAATATTTTCTTGTAAATATTTTGTAATATTGTAGTGAAATGCATTACAGTGTAATTTCCTAATACGTAAGCAAGATTTGTGGAAAGAGAAAATGGACAATTCTTTGATTAAAATTATTCCCTACTGACCTAAAGTTTGAGTGTTTCATGGAATACATAAATGCATATTCTACACCAACAGAATTTTTTCCTGAATGAGGGAATATAATAGTTATTGTTGGGGTATTATTGGGACAATGATAGGATCTCGGAGCAACAGACCTTCAAGAAACCATGATAGAATTCAGGGGATTCTGCATACTAAGATGGGGGCGGGGGGGACGAATGCATCTTTTCTACTAATCATTACTAATCATTTATTAAAATTAGCATTTCCCCCTTTTAAAAAATGTTTACAGTTTTATGAGTTACAATCAGCATACAATAAGCTGCTGTAAGGATAGATAAAATGAATTTTTGTTTGTTTAGTGAAGGAGAAAGCTGCTCACATTAGGATGACTCCTTAAAAAATATCATAGGCCCAGCTGGTTGGTCAGGAGTTAGATAACCCAGTCTGTGATTTCACAGTGCAAGCCTTCTGACCTTAGAACCCTATTCACCAACCTCTGAAATTAACTCAGGTATCTCCTGAGGTGGACAGGAAACTCACCAGGTTCATTCATTTGTCTCCCAAGGAAATGAAAGAAGTTTTCATTGTTCTTTCTTCTACTTTACTGGATAAGAAGTGTGAAATGCTGCCCAGACTCTGTATGTCTCATGAAGTAACTGTATATTTGTCATCTGATGCATTTTTACGGCATTTTTTTTTTTTTTTTTGGTACATGCCCCTAGTGGGAACCGAACCCCGGACTCTCTAGTCTGCAGGTTGATGCTCCAACCACTGAACCAAACCGGCCAGGGCTATCTGATGCATTTTTAAAAGGGATTTTTTTTTTTTTTTTAAAGAGAGGAAAGGAAAGGAGAGAGAGGGAGAGAGAGAGAGAGAGAAAGAAAGAAACATTGATGTGAGAGCAATCTGGGCTGTCCTGACCAGGAATCAAACCAGCAACCTTTTGGTGCATGGGATGATGCTCAACCGAGACATGGGCCAGGGCTGATTTTTAATACTAGTGTTTGTTTTTTCTCTATATATTGTTGCATGGGGGTCTTTCTGTTGTCAGGATTCTTTCTTTTCCCCAAACTACACATATTTAAAGTATACAATTTAACAAGATTTGACATGTATATACCTATGAAACCATCACCACAATCAAGATAATGAACACATATCCCTTACTCCCCAAAAAGTGTGCCTTTTGTAATTTTCTTCCTTTTTAAATGTTGGCCACAAATGACAATGGTATCAGTAGAATATGAAAGTCTTGGTCATCAGAAGAAATTATGGATATTTTCTCTTAATTTTTTAAAAATTATTCTAGAAAGGAAGGGAAAGAGAGAAACATTGGTTTCTTGTTACACTTATTATTTTTAAAAATATGTTTTTATTGATTTTAGAGTAGAGGAAGGGAGAGGAAAAGAGAGAGAAGCATGGATGTGAGAGTGAAACATCAGTTGGCTGCCTCCTGCACACCCTCTACCAGGGATCAAGTCCACAACCCAGGCATGTCCCTGAAAAGGAATCAAACTAGTGACTTAGTGCAT